TGTGACAGTAAGTGAGCCACAGTGCAGTCTCATGCAAAGTGCTATGGTTCCTTCAGCTCACAGGGAGTCTCAGGACAGGGAGGTCTGGCTTCGGGGAGACCCAACAAGCTAAGCCTGGCCACTGGACTCCAAAAGCAAAGGGCAAGAGAAACCGTGAAGAGAAAGGGAAGCTAACTGATCATGGCCCTATGTGGGAGTCAAGGGGTCCAACATGCCTAGCTCTGCCTCGAGCAGGCAGTGCTGTGGTTTTCTGGTGAAGAGGGAGGGGGAGGGGACTGGAGCCGGGAGGAAGAGGCAGTCCTCTCGGGAACAGGAGCAGGACTCTGGTGTCTGGGCCCTTCCCCAGGCTGCTTCTGGAGGACCCGGGGAACCCTTATCACTTCCACAGGCAGTTTGGCCCCCATCATGAGAGGGTTCGTCCCTCCTCCGGGTATGCAGTTTGTTCCTTCATGAGCTAACCCTCCCGCCTACGGGCCAGCCTTATCCTGGGTTAATCTGCCTGCAATGCAAGGCTCCGCTGATCCTGGAGCCCAAGCTGCCTGCAGGAATGCTGCCATGTGGTGGCCTAGAATAGGATGTTGTAAAAGCCAGTACCGTGTAATTACGTTGTCCCTGCAAGTCTTGAAAGTTCGGTAGTTCTTATCTTGGTGCCTTCATCCCTGAAGGTGAGGATTACCAGCTTCAGATGAGCACTCCTTAAATGATTGGCGTGATTGGCGTGCCTACGTGCTGAACTGAGGAACAATCTGACCCACTTTTAAGGTAGGACAGGAGGCAGAAAGTGAAGGCAGAGGAACCAAGCTCGGTATTGCTTTAAATTACCCCCTGGGCATCTACAGACGGAAGTGAGACAGCCTTTACTCTAACAGGGCTGAAAGAAAATTGAGTAACCATTTATCGGTTACTCAGTGGGAAATCTGTAGGGCGTTTCAGGACGACATCCCGAGAGCTTCCCAGCTCCCTGAAGCTTGCTTTTCTTACTGTCCTCCTCAGAATCCTTGGTCTCCTCAGAATCCTTGGTTTGGAGGAGGAGAAGGAATGTGGAGACAGGGTGTGGCTATGTAGCCCTGACAAACCTACAGTAATACGGTGACCATGCTGAGCTTGAACTTGAACATGCTACAACCTGCTTGCCTCAGCCTCCTGAGTGCTGGCATCACAGGCCAGAGCCAAGCAAACTTTATGTAAGACATTATTTCCACTTAGGAATTTTCTGCATACAGTATACGGGTACATTAATGAAAGTGGTAACTGACTCCAATTACAGAGGATGTCTTAAATTTTAAATTTATACGTCACCTAGCTTCCTTTCCCCAGACTGCTTTAATTGAACACGCTGTGCGCCCCCTCCTGCCTCTTCCATCGTGGTGGTGGTGTCAGTGGTCCACGCTTCGTTACCAGTTCCTGATTCCCACCCAGCACTTAGGAACACCGATAATCCCAAGGTAAATATCCCCAGATACTCAGAACGGGAGAAGGGCTCTCGCTGTGTAATTAAACTGGCCTTCCGTGAACAGATTCCCCGCTGCCTGTAGTTGGGAGGGAGGGAGCTCATCAACACATGACACATCAGTTCTCATTGCCAGCAGTTAGTTATTCCTATGACATTCTGGAAGTTCTGACGCACTGCCCGGTCCCTGAGCGATGGCGCTGGGGACTGCTGGAACATGCCGTCAGTCGAGGCAGATGGTTGGAGCTGGCGAGCAGTGGGCAGAAAGCTGGAGGGTGGACTCGATGAAGGAGGATGAAGGAGGGATTCGGACAACAGCCCGAGGAGCTCCGACTCGATGTGGTCAATGAGGAGAGGCTGACACTCTCTGAGCGAGGAGACACCAGAGAAGGAGTTGGCGTAGCACAGACCGTGTCCTGCTCTGGTTGGAAAGACGTTGGACAGACAGCGCAGCCACTTCAAACACTTTCAGGGCTTCGGTGGCAGTACGGAAGTGTGGCCATTTTGAAAGCAAGCGTCTGACAGGACTTGGCGACTGAGCTGATATGGAGAGTAGAGGAAAGGGGACTCAGTGGTGACATCAGGGCGTGAGCATGTCTCAGGGAGAGGCGGCTCCACCAGCAATGCAGAAGTCAGAAAGACAATCAGACGTCTCGGAAGGAAGATGCTGAATGTGGCTTCGGGCATGCTATGCTGAAGACTACAGTCAGGGCACAAGTAATGGCACCGGGTAGGAAAGTATACAAAGTAAGCATCCTCCTCTAAAATCCAAAGTAAGCATCCTCCTCTAAAATCCAAAGTAAGCACCCCTCCTCTGAAAATCCAAAGTAAGCATCCCTCCTCTGAAAATCCAAATTCAGGGATACTTTGAAACTCTTAAGATGGCATGACACCACAAATGAAAATTCTATACCTGACTTCACGCCATGAGGCTCGGTCAAAACACAAGCACTCTGGAAATGTACAAAACCATCTTCAAGCCAGGCAAGGTATGCATGAAACATAAATAAATTGTATTTCAATTTGCAGCCCACCCTCAAGACAGCATTATGCATGTACAGATATTTGGAATGGAAAAGAATCTGAACCCCTTCAGGTAAAGGACTCCCAAGCAGTATAAAAGTCAAATGCACCCCAAATCCCACGGCCTCCGCTGTCTATACCCATCGCCCAGCACCAGTGAGGTGGCCTTCTTGGCCAATCTGTCCCATCTGTCCCATCTTATACTCCAAGGACTCTGAAGTGAGTTTGAGATGGAAATCGTAAGGGAAGTTGGAACCTCAGAAAATGGAGATTGGAAAAGACCTCCGAGAGCCATAACACAAACCTCGTTTTATAGGGTTGGAAAGCTAAAGATTAGGATAGTAATTAATTTATGCTAGTTGAAAAAAAATGGCCGAAGTTCTATAATTGGGAGCTAATTACTCACAAGCAGTTTTTACCAAGTTTCGTTTTCTAAGATGCAAAGAGAAAAATAAAGACAGGTGAACTGTCATAAACCCAAAGTTCGCCTTAAAGCTTATTTGTCTCAGGCCTTATTTGTGGTATGGTCCAATAATGCCACAAATGCTGCATGTTATGGAGTGACTCCTGGCGTGTTTTCTTGGTTACCATTGGCTGGTTTTTCACGCTGTGGGCCTTGGGCCTCTGAGGTCACGGTAAGTATGGGCGAGAGACAACAAGAGAGCTATCTGTGTGGGTCAGGTTACTTCCAGCTGCCAGGAGAGTCACCTTGGATGACTGGTCAACCCTGCCACCGCACCTGGGATAATGGAGGGAGTTCTGTGTTGCCTTGTGGAAAATAGAGAGGGGGTATAAGGTGTGCTAACAGGAACCCAGAGCAGAGCCCAGCCCAGCAGTGTTCACGACCCACAGAAACAGTGAGGCCTCCTCCGAGCAGGAGTTAGTAAGTTTAGCTGAATTTATTAAACTCTGTTGGTGGTGTGGGTCGTGGGTGCAATGTGTGGTTCTCTGTAAGACGTTATGAAACCACACATTAGAAAGACCCTCTGACTCCCTGAAGATTTTCTGAATTACAGAATGTATTTGGTATTAGAAGTACTAAAAGAATTATGCTAAAAGCATCTTATAAACTGGCACTTGAGTAGTTCAAAGTCTAAAAGCCCCACAAAACTAAGATGTCTACAATGAAAACCTGTTAAAACAACCAAGAAATCAATTCAGTGCCTGTGTCATATAATTAAAGAAGAGAAATGGCTGTACTACTTGTTTTCAGCTAATTCATATTTTGAACTGTACAGTAATTTTTAGAAAACTATTAAGATGCTTACAATAGGTGCCTTGCTGTCTTTTCTTAGCAAGATCTGCCCCTATACTTTCCCTTCCTGTTTTGCTTGGCATGTTCTTTCTTGCATGGAATAATGATAGTAGATGGTAAATCTAAAACTATCTGCCATACCCTGCCTTTCCTGGCTACTGTGGGTTCTGGAAGAAGGAGGTCGTGGTCTTCAGCAAGCTCCAACAGGCAGTTTCAAACCCGTGATCTCACAGATGGCCTGGTTAAACTCAGTGGGCCACAGAACTAAATGGAGAACTAAATGGAGACTGTGGGAAGGAGACTTGTAGGGAGGAGGGGGTGAGGGCAAGAGAAACCAGTAAGCACTGTGGTGTGTGTGTGTGTGTGTGTGTGTGTGTGTGAGAAACTGATTCAATCTCATGTAATCCTGGGTGGCCTTGAACTCAGAGAGATGAGTCTCTCTCTCTCTCTCTCTCTCTTTTTTTTTTCTTTTTTGTTGTTTTTTTCAAGACAGGGTTTCTCTGTAGTTCTGGAGCCTGTCCTGGAACTAGTTCTGTAAACCAGGCTGGCCTCGAACTCAAGAGATCCGCCTGCCTCTGCTGGACTTACCACCACCTCCTAGCTTCTGGCTGCTGGGGTTAAAGGAGTATGCCGGGCTCCTATGGTTTGTGGCTGACTTTGCTTTCTGAATCCTCAGGCAAGCTTTAATAAATCATAAATATCACCACATCAATATCTGTATGACTTCTCCTAAATTCAACAACAAACGCTACTAGTTTCTAATGAAATGAAAGTCAGCGTGTAGCTTCCTTTCTGTCTGAATGAGAAGGCCTCCAGAGGCTCATATATTTGAATGTCTGGTCTCCAGTTGGTGGAATTGTTCAGGGAGGAAATGTTTAAAGCTGCTAACCAAGCCAAAGGGGAAACAACGGGAACAAAACTAGACATTTAGTTCTTTTCTCAAAGCATTCCTGAGCAGCTTCACAGTTGCAATCATTCACGGTCTTCCTAACATTCAACAACTCACGCATCGGTCCCTGAGCCTCTGGCGCTGCTGGGGCAGGGCAGGGGCCGGTGCAGGGCAGGGGCCCGTGCAGGGCAGGGTCCTGGCCCGGACAGCGATAGCTCTGGGAACTACTCATTTAAACAGCAGGAAATGCTGGACAGACTGTAGTTTTCTTTAAGCAGTTTATCTTCTGATTTTGTTTTTAATGTACAAGGTTGTGAATTGAAGTAAATACAATATTGCTATACAAATTTTATTAAATTTAAAAAGATTCTCTGTTCCTCGTACATGTTTATTTTACTTTATTAGCGATTCTGCTGATAATAAATAATAAAGTCTACCGAGAGTGGCATACCGGCTCACTTCTGTGAAGCGCTCCTTTCATGCTTCCTGATAATGTCCATGAGATTGGCCCCCGTGACCAGGCTCTGGGATTGTCTGTCTGTCTGCTGCTCCTTTCTCTTCTGCTCATGAAGGTAAGGGGAGTTCAGCAGTTGTGGGGGGAGAATGGACCCTGTGGGCTTCACTCTTTTGGCAACATCCCAGAAGAGCCTTTTAGAGTTGTTATTTATGAAAGTAATGGCAGTTCCGTTTTGACCGAGTCTCCCCACTCTGCCAACCTGAAACAAAAGGAAAGACATTTTCAAGTCTCATTCATTTCAAGAGAAATGAAGACCATCATTAAAGATATTTATACAGCTTAACATTCGTTCAGATAGGTTACTTTCCTTTTTCCTTTGTCAGCGTGTGGTGTGTGTGTGTGTGTGTGTGTGTGTGTGTATGTGTGTGTGTGGTGAATGTGTGTGTGACTGTGTGTGTTTGTGTATATCTGTATCTGTGTGTGTGTATGTGTGTCTGTGTGTGGTGTGTGTATGTCTGTGTGTGTGTGTGGTGAATGTGTGTATGTCTCTGTGTGTGTATGGTGTGTGTGTGTGGTGTGTGTATGTGTGTGTGTGGTGTGTGTATGTGGTGAATGTGTGTGTGGCTGTGTGTGTTTGGGTATATCTGTATCTGTGTGTGTGTGTGTGTGTGGTGTGTGTATGTCTGTGTGTGTGTGTGTGGTGAATGTGTGTGTGACTGTGTGTGTTTGTGTATATCTGTATCTCTGTGTGTGTGTGTGTGTGTATGTGTGTATGTCTGTGTGTGTGGTGAATGTGTGTGTGTGTGTGGTGAATGTGTGTATGTCTCTGTGTGTGTATGGTGTGTGTGTGTGTGTGTGTGATGAATGCGTGCGTATGGTGGGTACTGAACCCACGACCTCAGGAATGCCAACCACTGAGCACGCTCGCTACCCCTGAGCCAGGACCCTGACAGTGCTCTCTGGACTGTGAGTCTTGATGTATTTATGAAATCAATTTAGAGGGCCGATGTGGTGATATCTTATTTATATAACAGATAAAGCTTGCCTGAAGATCAGAGGGTGGATCTAGCCACTAGCTAACCACAGAGGTCTGGAGGTCTGCACAGACAGACAGGAAGTGATGTGGCTGGTGGAGAGAGGAAGGGGTAAGATGGAAGGAGACGGGAGCTCAGTCTCTCGGGTTGGGAGGCTGAGTAGGTGAGACGGCTGTGGCTGGCTCCCTCATCTCTCACCTCTTAGCATCTCCCCTACATCTGACTCTGGGCTCTTATTATTAAGACATGGAATTCACGCTACAGGACGATGTCAACATACGCATTTTCTTGCTATCTTAATTTTAATGAAATTGCACAAAAGGACTGTTTGTCTAACTTTTGTGCCTTGAAATATTAGATTTAAGCTATCTCATTTTTATAGAGTTCTCAGTTTGACAGAAATGGACACAAATTTGTGACTCAAACATTGAAATCGATAGCCAACACAAGATCTACTTGTTTCTAAATACAAATGAAAATGCTCTGAGAAAGTTTTCAGGAGAGGGGAAACAGAGTCACGGTCAACTTCTTCTGTTCATCCGTTGAAATGTAAAATCTAAAGTCTATACTTAGAAAAACTTGACGAATCGCAGCACTCGGGAGGCAGAGGCAGGGGGATCTCTATGGGTTTGAGGCCGCCTGGTCTACATAGGAGTTCCAAGACAGCCAGGGCTAGAAAGACCCTGCTGTAAAAAATTTAAAAACAAAGAAAATATTGAGGTGAACTGATGGTTCCTACCCATACAGTTAAACGAGCAAACAAGACACCTGTGAAGAAGTCACAAGAGCTGAAGGCCTCTAGGGATCGAGGCTGGTACAGTAAGGAAGCAAGTGGATTGGTGCCAGCTTTTAGCCTTTTTAGCTTTATCTGATTTGCTTCATTATATTGCTGGACTGTTCACATAAAATACAAATTTATATAAAACAGCTACAACCCACCAAAGAGGAGAAACTATTCACAAATCCTGTATTGGATGAAAGTCTTCTAGAGTTGCAGAGAAATATTTAAGGCTTACTAATAAAGACCTAATTTAAAAACTGGACAAAGGCTGTGATATACAAATGGTCAGGAAAGGCTGGCTACTCCTGCAGCTCCATCACCACTGAGGAAATGCAAACCAAAGCCACAACAAAACACTATTTCATGTTACTAAGGGTGGCTATAATCAAGAAGACAGGTCAGAGTGTTGATAGCGTGCTGGCCTGGCCAGGAGGAGGCCCTGGGTTAGATCCCCAGCACGACATGAACAAGGTGCAGTAATGTGTCTGTAATTGCAGCAAAAGATCAGAAGTTCAAGGTCACCCTCAGCTACACTGAGCCAAGTTCAACATGGAATATGAGAATCCATGAAACCTTGACTTCAAAATCAATCAATCAATCAATCAAAGAATAACAAACATTGGCAGATGTACAGAAACTGGAACTCACATATTGCTGGAGAATATGTAAAAGTTACTTTGGAAAACAGTCTGCCAGATCCTGAAAATGTTAAAAACAAAGTCACCACATAATTGGATGATTCTGATCCTAGGCACTAGCCAACAGGAATAAAAATGTGTGGACAGAAGCAGGGCCACTGATACTAATAGTAGCCAAAAAAAGTACATTAGTGAATGGATCCACAAAGGTGGTGTACCATAAATGGAATATTTTGACAATAAAAATAAAACAAATTGTAAATATACATGCTATAACATTAAAAACATGTTAAGTAAGAAAAAAGTTATTTACAGCATGATTCCTTTTACACGAAATGACCGCAAGAGTCAAATCTGCAGAGGCAGAAAGCAGAGCGGGAGGGGATGCTCAGGGATGAGGGGATGCTCAGGGATGAGGGGATGCTCAGGGATGAGGGGATGCTCAGGGATGAGGGATGAGGGTGTCTGTTTGCTCTGGAGGGGGATGACTGGGACATCTGGAATGGGGATGATACGGGGCATCGGTTTTAGGTCGGAAAACATTTTCTAGAACTGACTATAGCGTTGTTTGTATAAAGCTGCATGGCTATGTTTACACATTTGACTGTTCGGGTTCGCTTTAAATGAGTGGGTTGTGTAGTGTCTGCCCTGCACCTGTAATCCCAGCTACTTGGGAGGCTGAGGCAAGAGAACCAAACATTTGAGGTTATTGCCTGATCAACTTGGGAAGACACAATCTCAACATCTAGAAAAATGGAGGGGCGGGTTGTCTGGGGATGTGGCTTAGTGGCTGAGTATTTGCCCAGCATACACACTGCCCTGGGTTTGATACCCAATAAAAAACAAAAGCAACCTCCAAAATTTTCTAAAGGCTAAGGTAGCTGATGCTATCTAATATCAAGTTACTGCTCCTGAAAACTTTCTACCATTAAAATTAAAAACCAGCCACATGGGAATTTCTGTTATACTTATCTATGCTGCTCAGGTTATCCAGAAACTTCTGGGTTCAAACAATCCTGATTCAGCCTTGCCCATAGCTCCAACTACCGGTTTGACTACCATGCCCAGGGTCAGAAGGACTTGCTCTGTGGTAACACTCATAGAAAGATAAGCACAGAGTGTTAGTTACTGGAGCATTCTTTCATAGGAAAACACAGAAAACATAACCATCAATAAGGGTTTATCAAGTCACAGCCCACTCGCACAGTACATCATCTTGTAGCAGTTGAAACAGGACAAGCCACCAGGTAAGTCAGGGAAAGCATGTAAACAGCCCGGCCACAGAGTAAGAGCTCCCTACCTATTCACATCTAAATGGTACCTATTATGTATGCTGACGAGAAAAGACATCCGAGATACATTTCATAAAGCATAAGGCATAGAACAATAGGTATGATGTGGTCCCATTTACATGTATGTGATAAACATGTATACCTACATGTGTGCTTAATAGTATTTTAACTATTATCTGCCAAAACTCAAAGGCAGGGAGGAACGGTAAAGAAGACTTATCGTCAGGCACAGTGGCGCACACTTCTAATGCCAGCACTCAGGAGGCAGAGGAGGCGGGTCTCTGTGAGCTGTGACAGGTAGAGGGTCTCTGTCTCAAAACAAAACAAAAAGCTTACTTCTCATTTTATGCCTTGTTACGTGTAACACTTGTTCCTGTGATTATGTATGTCCAGAACTGAAATAATCTAAGGCACGGACCACGGACAGACAGAATTAGAAAAGCAGCTAGCTCTAGCGTCACCCGAATTGAGTGAAGGAACCTTACACATTCACCAAGCCCAGAAGCTGTCCCTGCATTGTAGTGGGGGGGGGGGACACTGAAAGCCAGGGTCAGCCTTGGGATGTCACAAAAGGTTAGATGACTAAATTCAGCATATTCTAAGAGGCAAAGAAGTGTCTCAATAGTGTAACATTTTAGAAAAGTTTCTATCTAAAATCACGGGATATTTGAAAGGCAAAGTTTCATTTGTTGTAACACTATCTCCTGGAGGATACTTGATTCCAGATTAAGCCTAAGTAAACGCAGTGCAGACACTGAAGACTAAGTCAGGGTGGCACTGGGAGGCGAGCCCAAGAGCATCGGAGGAAGGCTATGCCTGAGGGTTTGTAAGTGATGCTGCAGGAGGAAGACAGAGCAGGTACCGAGATAACAGCACTAAGCGAAGGCTCTGTTTCCGCCAGAAAGAGGAGCCATTGTTGCTTCTGGCAGGGAAGGAAACAGATGAAACTTTACCAGCTGAAAGACTAGGACGGGTAAGGCTATGAAGAGAAGACCAGATTCCTAGAACGACAAGCATTTTAAAAGATCACCTTTACTGTGACCAGCACAGCAGCTTAATGCAATCTTCTAAACAGGTTTCTTTTCTAAATATAAAGGCCACCTAGGGACTCGCTGAAGGGAAGCAAAATTGGAGCAATAACTGAGTGCCCGGAGTGAAATGTTTTTCAAAGAGCTAATTAGTGTGTACGTGTATTTTGTCTCTTATGTCTGTGTGCCATCCGCAGGTCGTCAGAGGAGGGTGCCCGGACCCTGGGACTGGACTGCCCAAAGGTGCTTTTGAGCTGCTCTGTGGGTGCTGGGGATTAAACCAGGTCCCCTGTAAGAGCAACAAGTACTCTTATCCACTCAGCCATCTCTTCTACCCCCTAACATCAAAAAAAAAAAAAAAAAAAAAAAAAAAAAATTTTAGCCGGGCAGTGGTGGCGCACGCCTTTAATCCCAGCACTCTGGAGGCAGAGGCAGGCGGACCTCTGTGAGTTCGAGGCTGGCCTGGTTGAATGTTTGGCCTACATGTACATATGTACACTATGTGCATGCCTGGTACCTAAGGAGGTCCTAAGTGGGTTTCAGCTCCCCGGGACTATAGCTATAGATGGTTGTGAGCCACCATTAGGTTCTGGGAACTGAACCAGGGTCTTCTAGAGGAGTAGACAATATTCTTAACTGCTGAGTCAACTCTCCAGCCCTAAGCATGCATATGTATATATGTATTTATGTGTATGTATGTAAAGTTTTATGTCCTGCTTTTAAAGAAACATTTTCTCACCCAGACAGTGCCTTAGCTAATCAAACTCATCGACAAACTGGTAGGATAGGAAGCCCCTTACCTGATGAACGTATTCATCCATGCTTGAAGGCATATCAAAATTCACAACCAGCTTGACGTTGACCAAGTCCAGGCCTCGGCCCAGGACCCCCGTGCTCACCACGACCTCATAGTCTCCTTCCAGTAATCCCTTTCCAATAAAGGAAAAAAGTTCATTATTCAGGCCAGGAGTGGTAAGGCAGACCTATAATCCCAGCACTCACGAGACAGAGGCCAGCAGATCTCTGTGAGTTCAAAGCCAGCTTGGTCTAGACCAGAGTTCTAGGCAAGCTAGAGGTATGTAATGAAACCCTGACTAAAAAACAATAAACAGTAAGCAATAAATCATTATCTTGAACTTATTTTATATGGCTTTGTGTAATTTGACTTTTTAAAAAAATGCTCACTTCAGTATTTTGTTGTAATAGCCTTTCAATAAAAAGAAGTCTTAACACTTGAAAACTGCCTGCACGTTAAACTCTCCCGAAGCTCTGTGGGATTTATTTTATTAATTTACTCAAGCGAACGTCTTCCTAAGGTGAGCTTCTTTCTGCTCTGCCCCAGACCAAACTGACCTGGTGTCTGAAACGGCTTGTGTGTGTATTAGCTGTCCATTTAGCACACACCCTCCAGAGTGCAGGCTTAATGCTCTCCACACACAGAGGCCTCAGCAAGAGAAATAATGAGCACCAGAGTCACTGCTTGCTTTGTGTCCCCGTCACTGAAAAGCTCTATCTTATAACCAGCTGGTAACAGGTCATCTCCTGAAAATGCAGTAAGACAGATTTGGAGGACAGAGGGCTAAGGTCCAACCTTCAGGATATCTCTCCTTTCCACCTGGGGTTTCTCTGAGTGGAAGGATGTGCTGTTCAGACCTGTGATTTTCTGAACTGCCTCACTCAACAGATCTGCTCCCAGCTTGCAGTCCACAAACACTAGCACTGGAGGCTTAAAGAGCTTCTTGTCCTGAGGAAACAAAGCAAGAAATTAATTATTCATAGAGCATAATTTATGTGGAAAGCATCTCTGAAGTCATTAGCATGAGCTAATTATTGAAAGGTTTACAAATATCACTAAAAGGAAGTTATAATTATTTTATAATATAAAATAAAAGCAAACTCTTTTAAAACTAATGTTCTACTTAAGGATGCACACACTGCTCATCTCACTTTTTCATCATTAATATTACAAATATTTTAAAAATTTAAGGCCCATTACATAATTCTAAACCCTGCTTACTAGTCAGTGCAAGCTATCATTAACTTTATACCATATTCATAGGTAATACTTATGAATAATTAATACCACTTTCATGTATCAGCCACTCTTAACAAGTTTGTTTAAATTAGTTCAAAGATTCTCAAGGACAGAATAGATAATAAGCACTTTGAAAAAATACCTATAATTTTGAAAGTTAAAATATTGAAATGTGTGTGTGTGTGAGTGCGTGTGTGTGTGTGTGTGTGTGTGAGAGAGAGAGAGAGACAGAGGAGATCATTTTCTGTATTACAGGCTCACTCTTTTGGAGCTCATTTTACAGCCCTAGCTACTTCCAAATACTGGGATTGTAAGCATGAGTCACTATGCCCAAGTCAGAGGAATAATCTTCATATTTAAATACCTTTGCATAACCAGGAAGAGAAAAACAGATTCTGAGTCAGAAGGGATGACGTGAACACTACAAACTCAGCCCTCCATGTGCTGAAGGAGGGTTATGAGTTCCAAGCCAGTTTGGCCTACAAAGTGAGTCCTCAAAAACAAAACAAAACGTGTCCACCCCCAAAATCCCAACTAGGCATCTACACATTTTCAGAAATAAAACTCTGAGTTGGGCATGGTAGCAAATGACTTTAACCTCAATCCTAAAGAGACAGAGGCAAGAGGAGAGTCTGTCATGAGCCCGGGCTATATGGTATCAGGCAAGCCAGGGATACACAGCAAATGCCTGTCTCAAATAAATATCAGAAGCAAAATTCAATTTGACCCTTACAGAATCCAGATGTAGGTAAAGGGGTTCACTATTAAAGATTTTCACCAAAATCCTTCCAAAACTACTCTTAAACATTGGTCTTTCTGGAGCTGAGGAAATACAAACACAGGTCACAAACATGACTGACTGCTCCAATACTCACATTTAAGATTTCAAATAACTTCTTCTTTTTGCCTGGATCTTCCACCCACAGGACGATCTGCCGCACACTGGGGCAGGGCAGGTTCTTGTCCCCAGTGATAATCCTCACAGGGTTGTGCAGAAGCTGGTCTGCGAGCTGTTCTATGCTGCCTGGAATCGTGGCAGAAACCAAGATAGTCTGAGAGTCACCAGGAGTGTTTTCCAAAATGTCAAGCACTTGCTGTTGAAAGCCCATGTTTAACATGGTGTCAGCCTAAAAGGAAGGCATTCTCAAGTCAGGCTTACTCAATACTACTACCTAGAACCACCCGGGATAAGACATGAGGGCCCATAGGACAGTGACTGCTGACTCAAGATGGACATCGCTACAGGGTTCCTGCTTCATGGACGAGTCTGCCAGACAGCCTGCAGGACATAGAGAAAAGTGACTGACGAACTGTCAACACAGGTAGACAGTTTAAAGTTTCCTCCTTTGCTGAGGAGTCTGCCAGACACACCATGGCCTATGGGATGAAGATGGAACATTACAGAAGAACTTTAGGTGACTGGCCAGGTAGCAAGATGTCTCTGTCATTTCTAGAGTTTATATCCTTCTGTGGTCTTTGAGAGAGTTGAAGACAGATAGTTATGGTTATAGTTTTCCTTAGTTAGGGTTAAAGATAAGTTACATATAAGACTTTAGACTCATAAAGATAGGATAGATGATAGAATATTTTCTCTAATTCTTGATAATATTAATGGACTAAATATTGTTAACTATAGTTCTTATTTGATAACTGTTTTGTTATATATTTTGCTATGTTAAGGTTAAAACTTTTCTTTTTATTTAGACAGAAAAGAGATGATGGGAGATGCCATTCTGTAAATATGTTTCTCTTATTGGTTAGTGGATAAAGCACTGTTGGCCAATAGGAAAGCAAGATAGGTGGGAATAGGAGACAAGGAGGATTTGGGGAAAGGTAATAGGAGAGTCAAAATGTAGGACCAAGTGGAGTTAAAGGTCCGGACCCTCTCTCCAGTAAGCCAAGACCACGTGGAGATACTTAGATCGATAGAAATGGGATAATATTTAAGACAGAGCTAGCCAATAAGAAACACTAGTAACAGGCCAACAGCTTTCTATCTAATACAGCATCTCTGTGCGTCATTTGGGGCTGGCGCGGCAGTAAGAACAGGCTGGTGGGAAACTGCTCGTAACAGGTCCCTCTTCCTAAAGCAGTAAGGAAGGAGCAGGATGGGGGTCGGGAAGAATCTAGACAAAGGGAAGGTCTGACAGGAGACACAGCTGGTGGCCCTGAGCAGAGGTTTCGAACTATAAGGAATAGCCCGAGTCCTGGCCCTCCCTCGGTGAGAGCCAGCGCTTGCTCTCAGCTCCTGCCTCAGGTCACTCTGCAGACTTAGCAGCCAACGCCAATGCCAGGCTTCAGTGCTCCCCACTCACTCCCCTCCTCCAGGCTTCTTCTCTGGGAGAAACCAGACAGCACAGACTCAGACAGTGTCAGCAGGCCCGGCATTTACTCAATAACCCTTTTCTAAAGTTAAAAGCACAGCTGTAGTTTACAGTCACTTCTCCAGCTGCCTCGTGCCTTCCTTCCCCATATGCAGTCACCAGAGGCTCACAAATGGTGACTTCAGTTTCACCCTTCCATCCCTGGGCCCCCACCCAGCCCTTGATCCCTCCACTCTTGGCTGGTGTGCTGGCTGCTTGGTCTGAGACCTTCCTCTTTAACTCTCCTTGTACTGGGCAGGGGAATGGCCTCCCTAAACCACCACTTTTACCAAGCTACATGCAACTCATAATTTAGACAGCCTCATTCTCTCCCACATCAAATCCAGAAGCTTCTGCCTCCCTTCCAGGGCCCTCTATAATTTGACTCCACCCTAGCTACCCAACTCTACTTCCTATTATTTCTCAGGAAGGGTTCTGCAAGCTGGTTGGTCTCCTTCCATCCTCTCCACAAGACACTCGGGCTCTCTGACTCTGCTCATCTCCCCGTGCAATATCTCATCTGTCCTCTGGTTTGTGAGTCGTCCCCATCTTCTGAGGAGCAGTTCAAATTCCATTACTATTTTTTTTTTTTTTTAACGGTGCCAAAGACTTACTCTCTTAATTCTACTCCTGACCTTAACTGACATGGAAAATTAGCACATGGTTTTCATAACAGTATTTTCATTTTACAGGAGCTTCCCCTCTAGGTGACAACCATGGCTCTCCAGACAAATTCCAACCTTTACCTGTTTTGTGGAAACCTACCACACCCAACCATTTTCTTCTTCTAACACATATTTTAAAAATGGCGCAACAGATGGAATGCAACACCTTGCAGATAGACACTAGGCAAGTACTCTACAATTCGATTGTACTTACAATCCTTTTCTTAAGATTCCTTTTTAGTTTATGTGTATCCTGTTTGTCTGCATGTATGAACATGTACCTGCTTGGGCCTGGTGCCCAGAGAAACCAGACGGCCTCAGATTACACAGAACAGAGTTACAGATAACTGAGAGCCACTGAGTGGATGCTGGGAATCAAACCCGGGTCCTCTACAAGAGCAGCAGGCCCTTTTAATCACGGAGCCTATCTCCTTCCCCTAGTCCCTGGTGATTTGAATCTGAGCATCTCTACATAGCTCAGGCTGGTCTTGAACTTGAGGATCCTCCTGCTTTGGTTTAGTGCTGTGTTAAGAGGCATGTGTTCCCATGAGCCTCTCTCCCCCTCCCTCTCTCTGTCTGTCTGTCTGTGGTGTTCACATACGTGTAGCTGTATGCATGCAGACACTCATGCCTGTGAAGGGCAGAGGTCAACCTTAGGTGCCATTCTCCTGGGTATTTTGAGACAGGGCTTCCCAGTGGCCTGAAGCTTGAAGCAGGGTAGACTAGCTGGCCTCTGAGCAGGACTCTGCCTGTCTCCACTTGCCCAGCTCTAGGATTACACTCAGCTTTTATTTATGTGGGTTCTGGAGTATCAAGTCAGGTCCCCTTAGCCCCACATCCGGGTTTGCCTTCACTTCTGTTTTATTGTTTTGGTTTTCTTGACGCACACTCTAGCTATGTAGCCTAGATTGGCCTTGAATTTATGGTTCTCCGGCTTTTGTCACTACCGTAGGCAGATTATAGGTGTGTGCCACTATGCCAAGCTGGTTATTTTCATATTGCTATGGTTGTACAAGTTAGTTTCAAAAGATCAGACTGGCCCTCAAAGCCTACAATAGTGACCATCTGCTCTTTTACTTAAACTTAAATTTTTTTACTTCATTAATGCTTAGGAGTGTTTTGCCTGTGTGTAGATCTGTGTACCCTGTGAATGTCTGGCACCCACAAAGGCCAGAACAGATCATCAGATCCCTTAGAATCGGAGGTCCAGACTGTTGTGAGTAGCCATGTGGGTGCTGGGAATTGAACCCGGGTCCTTTAGGAGTGTAGACAGTGCTCTTAACCACTGAGCCATACCCCCATCTATTGTTTTAAAGACAGTATTTGCTAATCATTGGCCTACATTGTTTATCTCAGCACTTTTTAAAAGTAAAATGTTATTTATTTATTTTGTGTGTGCTCCTGTTATGTTATCTCTGTAGGTTACGGAAAAGCTTGCTGGAGTTCCCACCTTCTATCATGCAGGTTCTGGAGACCGAACCCAATTGCCTGGCTTGGCAGCAAGCACCTTCACCTGCTGAGCTGTCTTGCCAACTCAGGAGAGGTAGCTCAATGGGCTGAATAGTTGCTTAGCATGCAGAAGGTCCCAGGACCAGTTCCAAGAACTGCAAGATAAAGCAAAATATAACAGAAGCCCAAAACCTTATCACTGAGATTATAACACCCACGGCACTAGGAAAAGATAGCTTTGGTTTAACTAAGTGATTTGTGCTGTATTTTAGCTGCAGTGTACATAGGAGTCAGCATTAGACCCAGTGAAATATATTTTTACAAGTACCTACATTTTTTTCATTCAGAGAACGCTCTGAATATACAATGACCTTATATATACTATAATACACTTTTAGATAAATTATATACAATCAAGTGATTGTTTTTTAATATGTATATATAATATATGTATGTTTGCAGGTACATGTACAAGAACATAGCGATTATCTTTCTTATAATCCTTTTCCACCTCATTTTACACACACACACACAGGTGCATACACACGCACACACAGGTGCATACTCACGCACACACAGGTGCATACTCACGCACACACGCGCACATACACGCAGGCACAGACACACACATTTATTCTTCTAGGCATGAGTGTGTGCATGATTGTGTGATAGGGTGCAGGTGTACATGTCACAGCTTTGTCCGAGATGCAGTCTCTCTTAGTGTGTATTGCTGTTGGTGTGCCTGGCTTTCACAAGGAAGGGCTCCAGAGATCTGAACTCAAGTCATCAGGCTTGAACGGCAAATGCTCCGCCAACTGGGCCACCTTCGCAGACCCTCACCTTAGTTTTTGAGACAGTCTCTAACAGAACCCAGGGCTCCCTGGTTGCTATCCTGGCTGGCCAGCATCCAGGATCCCCCTGTCTCTGCCCTTCACACACTGCTGTTTCAGACATGGGCCTCCATGCCCAGACTTTACAAGAGTGCTGAGGGCCTGAACCTAGGTTCTTACACTTAACCAACATGCACTTTAATCACTGAGCCGTCGCCCCAACCTGACAAATTACTTTTAAAAATTACCACTTACTTCATCTACTACCACAATTTTTATGCCACCGAGTGATATGGAATTCTGTTTTATTATATCCAGAAGTCGTCCAGGGGTTGCTATGATAACCTGAATAAAAGAGCAAAATCAAATTGAAAATTAGATAACATTCATTCATTCACTAAATATCTGTTGCTTTCTTTGGGGAAAGGGTCTCACTATGTACCCCAGGCTGGCCTCGAACTTGCAATCCCCTTGCCTCTACCTTCTGAGTGCTGGGATTACAGGTGTACACTACCACACCTGGCCTTTCATTCTGTTTTTGCTATTTTATATATACTAGATACTGTGTAAAGTACCACAATGAATAAGTCATACAGTTCCTGCTCTCAGAAAATAGGCCATTTACAGGAAGAAACAAGTAAAAAATGCTATTGTGGTCCATATAATACTATATACTATATACTATATACTATATACTATAAGTGGAGAAGTCGATTCTGTACACAAAACATAAAGAGTTGTCTGAAGGTGACCACTTCAACACACAACAGCAAAAGTACACCCTTTCAGTTCCTAGAGTGGGTGCCTACCAAGGGCTCCGTGAAGAAAGGCATGATTCCAGCATGGCCAGGGGCAAAAAAATAAGGCAAATGGACCTCCTTAAGTGGATAGGAAGTACTCAGAGATAATGGAGATATGTCAGAAAGCCACAGAAACCAGCTCAAGATACTCCTACTGTTCAAATCAGGGTCAAACCAAATCATAATACGAGACTACACCTTTAAATAAAACAGAAAACCCCGATGCCATACTGATGAACACAAGACATTTGTGTATCTCCAAGTACTTCTCCCAAAATATTTACTAAATACAAAAGGGAAAAACAAACTTTCCAGTTAAAAGACAAGCTCACATACTGCAGGCAGTGGTGTGGCTGAGCGCTACAGCGCTTCCCTCGTGAAATGGTTTGAAAGAAAACGGCCCCCAAAGGGAGTGGCACTATTAGGAGGTGTGGCCTTACTGGAGTAGGCGTGGTCTCATTGGAGGAAGTGTGTCACTGTGGAGGTGGGTTTGGGGGTCATATATGCTCAAGAGTGCCCAGTGTCTCAGTTCACTTCCTGCTGCCTGCAAGATGTAGCTCCCAGCTCCTTCTCCAGCACCATGTCTGCCTGTGTGCCGCCATGTCCCACCATGACGACAACCAGGACACCTAGCACGCATGAGACCTGGAGTTCCACCACGGTATGTCAAGGAAGAAATAAAAAGCTGCCCAAAAGGATGCAGTAAAAAGAACACAGTGTGTTTCTCTTCAGAGTGGATTACAAGCTGGCCATGGTAGAGCACATCTGTAAGCACAGCACTTCAGATGCAGGAGGAATGCCGAAAGTCTGAGTGGGGGGGGGGAGCTGACTCTGCAGGCAAGGGTACGTGCTGTACAAGCACAAGGGCCTGTGTTCGAGGCAAATGACGTGCTCATTTCTGACTTATTCCAGTACGTCAGTGTTAAATTCCTGAATCTGTAATTGCACTACGGACAAGCATAGTAATGTCCGTGGTTATAGGAATCACATTCTGAAACATACGAGAATGACAGAGAATCAAGTCAGAAATTTACGTCCAAAAAAAAAAAAAACGGGGAGAAAGAAGTTCTTTATATTGTACTGGTATTTTTTGTTCACAGTGAAGATTTAAAAAAAAAAAAAATGTACGAAAACACATGACCAGCCATCTCAGTGACTAAATATTGCAAGCTGGAGTTTACTCCTGATGTAGTAACCACTTTTTTTGTCTAGAAATGGAATGCAGCCAGAGTGACAGAGCAGGCTCAGCACTCAGAAGGCCGGGGTGGATGAACGTAAGCTGGGGCCAGCAAGCACACAAGATCTTGTCTTGAAAAACCAAGGGAAGGAGAATGAACTTCGGGCTACTTATCTGAAGGCGGCTAGAATTGGACCTACATGTCTATATGCATCATAATGTTTTAATTGCTGTGCAATAAAAACAGGCCAGATGCTTACATGAGACTCTAGCAAGTTCTACTAACCCAATGCATTTCATAAAATATTTTAATTGTTTACCATATAAACATAAACTGCTGAAATTATAATTTTTTACTTGTAAAATATTACCGTTCCCTGTTTTAGATAGTGGAGCCCTACAATGAAAATCAATGACCCAATTCCACACTAATTACCAATCAGCAGTGTCTTTCCAGTGTATTTGACATGTTTTAAATCTCTCAGACATATATGATGAGATGTATGATAAGCAAGATAGGTATTAATACAGCATTTTTAATACTGCAATATTTTCGTACCTGTTGGTAAGTACCTGCTGTCCCTTCTCCACACAGTGCTTCCTTAGATCTCAGTTTCTCCCTTGGGTCTTCAGAACCTCACTGCCATCCCAGAAACTAAAAAGGTAATGTCCAGAATAGTAGGGGACCCCCAGGACCAACAGCTGTACCTAGGCTACAGTCTACTGTTACTGGTCAGCCTCTGTGCCAACCTTCCCCTAAGCTGAACTGACAACCACTCTAACTCAAGAATACCAGAGCTCACCAAAGCAAAGTTAGCCACATATGGCACTGTAGGCAAGTCCCAGAGCTACCAGATCACATTACTTTCACAAATCGGAAAACATAACCTACACACAGTAGCACACTGAAGGGGGGTAGCAGAGCCATAAATTAAGGTTCCACCTTGGGCAATTATTATTTATTAGCTATAAATATCTAGATTAGTCCCATGAAAGACGGGATACACAAGCCTCCACAGCAACACGTGGTTACACGAGATGAAGTACACAGGACATCCAACAGAGCTTAGAATACAAGTACTCAGTAAGTTGTGTCCTATTCCCCTCCTACATAAAATAAACCTTTGTTTTCTTTCTTTTGAGACGAAGTCTCACTCTGAAGCTGTGTACTGGCCTAGAACTCACTATGTAGCTCAGGTTAACTACAGACTCTCAGGAATACTCACTATGTAGCTCAGGCTAACTACAGACTCTTCAGCAATACTCACTATGTAGCTCAGGTTAACTACAGACTCTAGGAATACTCACTATGTAGCTCAGGCTAACTACAGACTCTTCAGCAATACCCTTGCTCCAACCTCCAGTGTGGGCATTACAGACATGAATCACTACACTTGGCTATAAAATTAACTTTAGGAGGAAAAAGAAAAAAGAAAAACTTAGTTGGCAAAAACCTAAAAGCTACCTAAAAATCACATCCTCATGTAGAATCACACACACACAAACACGCACGCACGCACGCACGTTCCTCGATCGCTTACAACACTTTCAAAGCCTTCTCCCCAACAGGTGCTTACCTTCACGTGCTGTCGTAGGCGATGCAGCTGTGGGGGTAAAGGTAAGCCCCCCACGAGAAGCACTGTCTTCATGCGCGGCAGGCCGCTCATCAGCTCCTTGGCTTGCCTCTCTATCTGGATGGCTAATTCTCTCGTCGGCGTAAGAATGAGTGCCGAAGGAGTCTTATCCTGCGTAGAGGAGGAAAGCAACTTAGAGACCCCAATGATGAACTCCTGCTGACATGTGCCCTTCACGGGGACACCATCAGCCCCAGATATGAGCTCTCTGCGCACCTCCCGCACAGTTTTCCTCCGAAAATGATCGGAAACTGAACCCGTTTGTTACACAACTTAGGTAGACAACTGAAGACCAAATGTGGGCAAGGCAAGAAAGCTCTCCTCTGTCAAGGAGGAACCCACGGTCGACATGAAGAAGCTTAGCACTGTGTCTTGATTTTCCGCCCTCACACATTTACATGGTTTTTGTTTTTTTTTTTTGTTTTTTTTTTTTTTTTTTTTTTTTGCCAAAGAACTTGAGTTTATGCATGGCTGCATGAGAGGCATCCACCGTCTTCTCCCTAGCTCTGCTGTTAATGGCCCGAGTCTGAGCGTACTTTAGACATCCGGCATTTTGCCTTCTATTGCTTTCTTTCCTTTCCTCTCCGCCTACCCTTCCCACTCTCCTGCCACATGTGTAGCCCACAAGCCCGCCCAGACAGGCTGAGCGTCCTCAGCCCGAAAGTCTGAAACCAAAACGCACTTTAAATGCCAACACCAACACCGTGTTCAGGAGTTCCAGATCCTGAGGGCGGCAGGGATCGCTCAGTGGTTAGTTAGAGCACTGGCTGCTCCTGCGGAGGACCCAGGTTTGGTACCCAGCTCTCCCAAGGCAGCACACTACCTCCTGCAACTCCAGTTATGGGAGCTCCAACATCCTCTTCTGGCCCCGAAGGACACAAGGCTCATATGTGATACACTGACATATATATAGGAAAGCACCCGTACACTTAAATAAAATTATACTTTTTATAAAAAATAGTTTCAGATTCTGGACCACTTTGTGTCTTAGATTTCTGAATTAGGGATGCTCAACCTATGTAAATATTCTAAAATTGGAAAAACTCCCAAATCTTAAATACCTCTGGTCCAAACCATTTCAGATGACACTTGGCATGTACTAGGAAAACATACGCAGAGTTTGTGAAACTCTGCGTGAAGATGCCTTATGCAGTACCAGCAAACAAAGAAGCCCGTATTTCTTGCTCTGCTTTGCTAGAGACATGGTCTTACTACACAGTCCAGACTGTCCGAAGCCAGTTCTCCTGACTCAGTGCGGGGCGACAGGCCTGCGCCACCAGGCCCAGTACTACTTCTTAAAGATAAGCCATGAGTCACAACTAAGAGTATACGTTCAGCCAGGCAATGGTAGGACATTGCCAGGAGGCAGAGGCAAGTACACCTCTGTGAGTTTGAGGCCAGCCTGGTCTTACAGAGTGAGTTCCAGGACAGCCAGAACTTAAAAGAGAAACCCTGTCTTGGAAGAACAAAACAAAACAAAAAAAAAAAAAACTTTGATGTGGTGCATCAACATTAAAACTATAACTTTAATATACAATGTCAGTTTCTCCAAAACCCAAGAGGCTTAGCTGACATAAACTACAGCTCATCCATCTGGTATACAGGGTTTTTCTTTCAGATCAAAACTTTGTTCTTTTATAGAAAACCTGTTAAAAATAAAAACTGTTTTGTAAGGAAATTAATTTTTAGACCTTCCGGGAAGAGAGCTTTGGTTCAACACAATAAAAAGAATATTCTTTGAAATGATGCCTTGCACACAAAACAGAAGCAAAATCACCAGGCTCTTCAGCGACTTCATATACAAACGCCGAGCTGCAGCTTGCAAACGTGTTAGTTACAAAGAAACTCGGTAAATAGTGCATCTGTGTCTGAGAAGAATACATGGCAGGTCTACAAATTACCTCCAGTAAAGCTCGGATGATGACGGGGAGGAGGAAAGCAGCTGTTTTTCCCGAGCCAGTGTCTGCACTGGCCAGAATGTCTCTCCCCAGAAGGCCCACAGGGATCATCTGCATCTGGATAGGAGTTGGTACTTCGTAGCCCGATTTCTTCAAGTTCTGATTCAAGGTCTCAGGGAAGCCACAATGCTCAAAGTCAATAATGGGCCTAGCAACTTCTTGCCCTTGAACTGAGATTCCCAGCTGCTGTTTAAGGGTTTCAATCTGGTCCTCCCTCAGGGTCACAATGAAGGGATGCTCTCTGTAGACATAAGCGGCACCCAGCAGGGGCTCTGGCTCGGAAGCCGCTCTGGGCGGGCTGCTGGCCTTCGAGGACTCTCCCTCTTCCTTAACTTGTAGCAAATGTTTTGCTTTGCACTCCAAGCTGCACACATCTTCGTCAGTCTCATCACAGATATACTCTCCGTAGCGACCACACACAACACAGACAGGCTCCCCAGGCTGTGCCCAACGCTGGGTCTTAGAAAAGGACTTCACAGGCTCTTCAGAAGAAACACTGTCCTTCACACCCTCTTCAGGTCCTACCAAACAAACCTCAGCCAACTGGCTAGAAGGACTGGGTGAGGCCCTGCCAGGCCCGACGGCGGTGACAGCTTCTTTTGTAACTGGAGTGTGAACTGGAACATTTCCATCTCTGTCCAGCGGAAGGTCTTCAGCTTCTGGCTTACTTTTCTTACCTACACAGCTTTTGAGGTCGTCATTAGAACTCCTCTTGATTTTCAATGATCTGGGAACAAACATTCTTCAATATCCTGTTGAGGAAAGTGCACCAAGAGACATATTTTACCTTCAATTAAACTCACATTAGCACCATATTACTTTGTGTCAGCCAGTTTTATTCAATGCCTGTCACACCATTATGCCAACTTTCCTTCCAAGACTTATCAATTTCCTGTGGGGGAGGAGACACGGTCCTTCTCCTTCACACACACACACACAGCTCCTCACAGCCCTGCTGAGCACACCACCTGCTTCTGTTTATGGGTCATTTGTGCTTTCAAAAAATTCTATAGCTAATCCTTCAACTGCATTTCCACAAAAGAAAAGTGGACACTTCACAATTAGAATCTTAAAAGGAAAAAAAAAAAATCAAGTGTGTGTATTATCTTTAAATCACATATACATCATATATATGTGTGTGTGTGTGTGTGTGTGTGTGTGTGTGTGATTGGAGATGTACTTCAGTGGTACAATGCTTTGCTAACAGGTGAAGGCCTGAATTCCACATTCCAAAGAAAAACACTGATAAACACATTAACACACACACACACACAGATGAAGAATCTCAGCCACCCAAGGATTAATTTTATTTATTCAAAACACAATTCCTAAGTGTTTGAAACCAAGTGTTCTTGCTCTGGAGAGAACATTAAAAATGTTTTCACGAATCAGTGGGTGGGGAAAGAATGTTTAGCCTCATCTGGGGAGTAAGAAATAGACTGCTAATTCTCTCAAAACAAAACCAACACAACACAAAACAAAACAAAACCCAATGACTTAAGAAATCGCTAGATCCCATTTTCTATTACAAAAAACAAAACAAAAACAACAAAAAAAACCAACCCAAATCAGGGTACTGAGCCTCACAGATCAGAGGATGGGGCGGGGCCGTCGGGGCGGGGCCGTCGGGGCGGGGCCGTCGGGGCGGAGCCATCGGGGCGGGGTGGGATGGCCGAGGGCAGCAGAGAGCTTGCAACCCGCTCCCGCCGCCCCGCCCTCCCGCGCGCGCCTCCGCCCCGCGCGCGCCCGCCCCGCCCTCCCGCGCGCGCTCCCGCCGCCCGCCCCGCCCTCCCGCGCGCGCTCCCGCCGCCCGCCCCGCCCTCCCGCGCGCGCGCACGCCCGAGGACCCGACCCCCACACACACACACCCGCACTGCGGGCCGGCGGCGAGCTCGGTCAGCGCCGCAGGCCCGGGCTGCAGGGCGGCGCACGCTCACCGCGGACCCGGCCGCGCCCGCTCCCGCTCCCGCTCGGGCCGCTCCTTCCTCTCCAGGCCGAACTTCCGGCCGCCCGGCCCGGGCAGCCCCGCGTCTGAGGGCCGCACGTCTGCGCCTGCGCGGGGCGAGGGGCGGGGCTCCGTATGACCACGCCCTCGCGGAGCCGCGCGGCGGGCGGGGCAGGCGGGGCGGGGCGGGGCGGGCGCGCAGAGGGAGGAGGAGGGAGAAGGAGAGGGAGGAGGGAGAAGGAGAGGGAGGAGGGAGCCCTTTTGCAAGACCGGAGGAGTCAGGGAGTTGCAGACTGGCCAGGAAGGGCGGGGCCGCCACGCGCAGCAAGCGGGGCGTCTGAGTGAGCCAGACCGCCCCCCTCTCCCCCAGCCGCCCGAAATAACTGCAGGGTCCCCGCCTCGCGGTGTGCCGCTCTGCCCACCGCACCAGCCACCAGCGCCCCGCCCCGTGCAAAGCTCCACCAGAAACAGAAGAAATACATGAAAAGAAACCCTCCGAGTGTGTCCGCCGTTCCAACCCGGGGCTTTTGCTCTGCCAACTTGTGGGGCAGCGGCTGTGCCAGCGTGGGGAGGAAACGGGAGACGGAAGGCAGCGGGTTCAGGCCATGTTCTGGGTGTCCAGTCGTTTGCTTATTTTAAATATACTTTGCTCTAATAGTTGATGCATACAAAATTTAAGTTTGGCAGTTACCTTAAGCGTAAATATACCAACCAAACAAAAATCCTTTTTACGTTGTCGTTAGTACATTAATAAATGCTAAAGCGTTTGTTTCTGTATCCTCTGGGAGTCTGATTCTTGCTTTGGCCTGATTCTGTGTGTGTGTGTGTGTGTGTGTGTGTGTGTGTGTGTGTGTGTGTTCAGCTTGCCATTTTTGCTACATACATTTTGGCTGACAATGTTTCCTTTCCCTTTTGAGTTTTGGAAAAACAATATATACCACATATTTATATAGCCTTCCAGTAATTGCTTTTATTAACTTTTTTTTCTGATTCTCTAAAGTTGCTAAGTATACCATTAACAATTCACTTTACTAACCAGACAAATGGGATATCATTCCTGTCTGGAATGTATTCGTCTCCACAGCAGATGTGAATATGAAATCACTTTACATCCTTTGTCTATAGGAATCGAATTAAATGTATTTTTTTTTCTGAATCTGAGAGTTACAAGCTTGCAATAACTCTTACCTGAATTTGGTGACATGCATTTTGCCTTTTCCCATTATAAATAAACACTAACTTTTGAACTTAATGTTTATTCATAACTTTATTATTTTTTTTTTCTTACTTCGATCTTTTAAGACAAGCTCTCAGGTCTTATGTTAGACTCCCAGTGTGGCAGAGTATGGCCCCGACCTCTTGATCTTCCTGCCGCCACCTTCCAAGGGCTGGGCTTACTGGCATGTGCCACAGTTGCCAGCTTGTATCTTTGTCCTTAAAACCTTCCTCTTTCTCCAGTCTCTGCTAGGCTTTGCCCCGGGGAATCACAGCATCCCATTTGCCCCTTGGAGGTGCATTGTAGGGGTCAGAGGATTTAGAGGTGTTTGGCTTTAGATTTTTCTCTTCAGTTTTTAAAATTGCATTTGCCACTTGTAGATGGAGGTCAGAGAACAACTTTAGGAAGCCGGTTCTCTTCACCTTGGTGAGACGGTGTCTCTTGTTTATGCCACGCTGGGCGGCGGGCTGACTGGCTAGAGCTGTGACTGTCTCCGATCACGCTGTAGGGTTCCTGGGATTACAGATATGGGTCACTATATCTAGCTTCTTAAATGCGTTCTGCACTTCAAACTCAGGTAGTGAGATTTATGGCACAAGTGATTTTTACGCTCGGAACTATCTCCCCAGCTGGGAGGTGTTCAGTTTCATAAAACAGTTCTGAAATATTTCCAAAGTGGCTGCACTTCTTTCTGATTTCTGCTACTCTCGGACTTCTAACTTTCTGATCGTCTACCAAAAATGAGTAAATGTCACATCATTTTAATATGCATTCTCTACTGATAAGATCGAACATTTGTACACGCACTGTTTTATCATCCATAGCTCCTCTTCATCTCAGCGTTTATTTATAATAATCTTTTGTCAACTGCACACATTGCAAATATGCTTGCCCTGTGTGCAGCATGTGCTTTCTACGTTTTATACCAGCATCCCATTTAGTGTTTTCTAAAGAGAGAGAGAGAGAGAAGGCATGGTGTTGGGTGAGTAAGAAAGCCGGGAGGATTTGAGAGGAACTGAGAGAGGGGAGACCATGATCATAATACATTATATGAAAAAAGATTTTCAACAAAAATAAGAGGTTTACTTTGTGTTTTGTTTATAGGTGTTTTGCTTGCATATGTCTGTATACCACACATGCGCAGTGCTCACCGAGGTTTTGGAACCCTGTAGACCTGGGGTTAGAGATGACTATGAGCTGCTGTGTGGGAATTGAACGTGGGGCCTCTGGGACAGCAGCCAGGGCTCTTAATCACTAAGCCATCTCTCCAGACCCTATGTTTTCATTTTTCAAAGTTGACTTTGGAAACATTCAGGCGTATGAAAAGCTTTGACTAATATAGCATTTATGGGCGCCCTGTATATGCCCTTTATAGTCACAGTTTGTATACTTAGAACTTCTTACAAGGACCTTTTTTATTGAACAATTAGAGAATGAATTATAGCATGTACATATAGAAGCAAAGCCATTTTTTCTCTCGTGTCCATAACTATTAGTCTCACTTCCTAGCTCAAACTGGCCTGCAACTCTGAGCACTGGGATTCCAGGCCTATGCTTTCTTTATGGCATCTTTTGATGTATAAAAGTCATCATATAAAACTTAATGCCCTTAAGTTTGCCAGTCTCTTCTATAGCTAGCAACTTTGATGTCCAGAAAGCTTTGAGTACCCTAAAGCTAGGAAGGTTTTATCCTCAGTAATTTTTGAAAACTTTTAGTTTTATCTTTTATATTTAAATCATGGAGCCATGTTGGAATTGGTCTATGTTTGCTATGAGGTAAAAAAAAAAAAAAAAAAAAAAAAAAAAAAAAAAAAACTACTTCTTGGTTTTCCAAATGGCCAACAAGTTGTCTGAATACTATTAACTGACTAGTATCCTTTCTCAGATGATAGCCATTGTTATATCTGGGATGTATCGATGCTTCAAAATGCACAGGTATGTTTCAGTGCTCATTATTCTCTATATCATCTCTCCTGGTGCCAGCACCACCCTGCCTTATTATTGTAGCATTATTATAGGCTTTGCTAGATGGTGGAACACGTAGTGTTCTCTACGAGTGTCTTAATTATCCTTAATTGCTCTTCATGAAGATTTTAGAACCAGCTTGTCTTTTTTTCAGTGTCATCATATGGCGATGCTTGGAAACACACTATATTTATAGAATGATGAATGTATAGGAAGGGGTAGCTGGACACGATGGTACCCTGCCACAATCCTAGCACTCAGGAGGGTAAAGTGAGGGAATCAAGAATGCGAGGCCAATCTGTGGACGAGGAGAAAGCAGAACTTGATGGGACAAATCTCATATCTTTTTGAGTAGTCATCTTCAGATTAGTTCATCAGTCTGCCCCAAGTCCATCAATAGTTCAATATCGATCAGTCATGCTCCCGTAAAAAATGGTAGATTCACTCTAGTCTTTTAGTTTTATAAACTTGAAGGCCATTTTGTTTTATGTCGTATTTGTAAAGCAATCTCGACTTTCAAGCAGGAGAAATGAGTTTATATCCCTCTGCTGCATGCCCGGCTGCATATGCATGACTTATAACTTCCTAGAGCAGAAGCTCACTTCCCAGGGCAGCCCAGTTGTCCACTGAAGAGCTCTCTCTATCCAGGCACCATCAAGAAATTTTGCATGCATTGTCATGCTCCATTTTTTCAGTATAACGCTCTAAGGTAGGAATTGTGTCCCCACGGTACCGATGACGGAACGAGTTAAGGTACTCATACAACTTTCCCATGGAGACGTCACAGGTTTGTACCCTCAATTCATTAGTCTACAGTGCTGTGCAGGGTTAGATTTCCTTCCCCCGACACACTCTAGAGTCATTAGGGTAGAGGGAGCCTCAACCGAGGAACTGGCTTTGTCGGATCGGCTTGTAGGCTGTCTGTGGAAGCATGTTCTTGATTAATGATTGACGTAAGAGGGCCCAGCCCACTGTGGGTGGTCCAAGGGAGGTTAACTAAATTTAGCCTGGAAGCAAGCCGGTGCTTCGTTCTCTCCAGGTTCCTGCTTGAGTTCTCTGACCTCCCTCAATGGTGGATTGTGCATGGATGTGTAAGTCGAACAAACACTTTGCTCCCCCGGGTTAGTCTGGTCATGATTTTATCACAGCAACTGCGGCAAAGTAGGAAAAGCACCCGCAAGTTCTTTCCGTTGCCCTCGCAAGCACAACCCTTTAATGTCAATCAAGGGACACAGTTCTAGCCACCATTTTTTAGTGTTCCCAGCATATCCCAAACCCTTTGAAACCTTGGAAACATGCAGACCCAGCCTCAGAAACACTCATGCCTACATGTTCCCCAGCCCTGCCCAACGTCTCTTGGGTTTCCCACGGAAGCTTTTAGGCCGCCGTGTCCCAGGTACTCATGTTCTTAGTGTTATCTCAGAGACAAGGGTGGGGTGATTTATTCATAATTCTCTGTTTGGTGAGCTGCAACTCATTTCTGCACATGAGCTTGGCAAAGTTCCGTCTCTATTCCTTTAAATTCTCTTTAATAGGATGCTCCGGTTGGAATTTCCTCACAGATCTGGTCAGAGAAGTCTGATTCAGCGAAGCTTGTTTTTTTGTTTTTGTTTTGTTTGTTTGTTTTTGTTTTGTTTTCCACAAGAGATCTTTAGTGAAATGGCTTATGGTGGTCATGTGGTTGTCAGGTTGTGGGGAGCATTACTTGTAATAGACCACAAGGAAATCCCAGATAGCATTACTAATGTTGTCTTATTGTTCATTATGCTTTATTGCAAGG